ATTTTCCATTACATAATGTATTTATATAACGTAAATCATAATTATTACAAGCATGAGATAAATCAGGTTGACAAGAAATTGGATCATGACCAAGACGTGATGGAAATGAACGAATATAATCAATAGAAATAAGATATTGTGGAACATTTGATTGCCATTTTTGATTATTTAATGATGGATTTTGTGGACATTCAATTGAAATTAATGAATGAGTTGGACATATTGTTACTGTTCTATTAGGTAATTCATATTCAAAAACTAAAATAAAAAAAAAAAAAACATATTATAAAAACAAACAAAAAATTTTTCATTATCTTACATTTAGCATGAACTACTATTGATGTTTTCTTTGTTATATTGCACAAGGCAATAATAAATATCAATAATAAATATTGAGCCATATGATTGTTTTCATCTCATTCTGTCTTTTTTGTTTTCTTCTCTTGACTAACTGGCCATCACTTGTGTCACTATTCAATTGGTATGTGTCAATGTTTCTCTCTCTCTATACATATATATATATATGCGTGTTCAATGCAAAATTATGTCAAATGAATGATCCTTTCTATGAAAGAACAAAAAAAGACAAAGATAAAGAAAGAAAAAAGGGCGCAGAGATGATGCTACTCATCTTCGCCCACATCATATGCATGCACTCACACCTCCTCATACATCTGTGCACACGTTTTTGTCTTCTTCTTATTACGTCGACATTTTAAAATAAACGATATACGTTGAAATAGACAAGTGAGAGGGAGAGTGAGAGAGAGAGAGAGAAAGAGAAAGAGAAGACTACTAATCCTTTTCGACGAGATCAACTATATCGATGACAAAATAACGATGATGAACCCCTGATGGTGATTCTACTATTAGTAACTAACACAATAGAGATAAAAAAAAAAGGACATGTACAAGTTAATTGGACAAGTCATTGACGTGATAAAACAAATATGTCAATTATCATTGTCAAGAACATATGGTTTAGAAATTTTATATAATCATGAAAGATAATGAGAATGATTTCATAGTCAATAATAGGTTATTTTTCTCTTGTTGAACTCTTAATTTTACAATAAATTTGTATGAATTATAAATTGATATGAAATTTTATGCACATAAGAGTGTTCATACGATGGGTTATACACGTTTTAGATGAATTTCTAATTGAAAATTCAGATATGAAAGATTGAAATATCAATTAAATTCATATGTATACTTCAACTTACTTCTTTATACTTGCTGGAACTTTTTGAATTAAATTTTGTTAATTTATTCTTTCCTGTCTTTGCATATTTGATATAGTATATTGAATTAATACAATTTCTTGTTCTTTTTAGCTTAATGGATTAGTCATGTCAATGACGAAAGTTTTCTTTTTTATCGAAGAACAATTGAAATACTGTGACTCGTTATATTGTTTTTTTTTGGGAATTATTTATTAATTTTCTTCTTATTAGTTTCTATTCTCGTAATAGTAACAACAATTAGTTGCGTCTATTGATGCATTAATGATCTTGACATTCATTTGAATAATTAACTTTTTTATTAAATGAAAGTTATATGAATTCTTCTATTTTTGACTTTGATTTTCTTTCATATAATGATAGATTAGTCAGAGGAAATACACAATGATCTATTTCAATGAAACGAAAACATTAATGAATAACTGAATAGCTTATGCAATATTTGATCATAGTTATATTAATCTATTAATATTATCTATATCTAATTCATTTATTTCAAAGATATTCTAGTGAATGGATATGCATCTATCTCTTGTTGACTTTTCGACTAAACTGCTGCTTGCATCAGTAGAAGGACGCGTTGCACGTTAAACAAGGATACCATTAAATAATAAAGTTCGCACAAAAGTTAGAATTTTCATTAGTATCTGTACATCAAAAGATGACTAGTTTTCAGGATTTTAATAATATCGTTTTTTGAAAAATCCTTTTAATTAAATATCATAAAAATAAATGTGACATAAGAGAAGATCCCTACCTGAAAAATTTGTACGTTTGGACATAATAGAAGTCTTGGGTCTTCTCTTGCAGAGACTACTTAACTGATTTTATATAATAGTTATGATATTGTCGTTGACATTTAAAATTTATTTACGTATGTCTTCCATTCAATTGAAGAGAGAGTTAATGATGACAATCAATATTACTTTTATTTGTCACTATCTAAATCAAATGAATGAAAAAAAAAAACGATTGTCTTCATCTTTCGTGAATTCAATGTTGTACTTTTTTCTCGAACGTGTTTCGTCAGTGATGCAGTCATTGAAATTACATTTGTCGAAGAATTCAAATATGCTTCTCAACACATTCAATCACATTCTTCTATTAACCAAAAAGTATTGTCATGATTTTAGTGTTGTCAACAATGCAAAAGAAATGTATTAAATTTATCATTCTATTTTCTTAGATATGTTTGGAATTATAATTGATGATTTTGTTTTTGAAAAGTAGTTGCTATAAAAGATATGAAAGTTTGAATAATGAATCAAAAATTACAATTCCGATATTTATTAAAATCACATGAAAGTCTGACATGTGTCAAAATTGAGTTATTTTAAATTTTTATTTTACTTTTTTCAATTAATAAAATTACTTTTTTTTAAGGAAATAACGACTACAGCAGAATAAATGATGTCATCACTATTTTGTTGATATTCCAATCAATTATCATCATTCAGATTTTATCTTTCGCTGTTTTTGATAAGTTTCATCGTGTAATTTTGCATTAAATCATATAATTTACTTAACTAATACATTTTTCTTCCTTTCTCGAAATCAACTTATTTGAACAATGATATTATGTACAAATTTTCCAAATCTGAATATTTTTTTTTTTTTTTGAAGAAAGTTTTTTTATTCTTAAAGCATTTGAGCTTTCATTTTAATACGGTCAGAGTTCGTCAAGTCTACTAATGTACTCGAGACAATTATCTAGCATCGATTAAATACCAAAATGAGTTGTAAATTTGTCATAACAAAAGCCACAGTACTTTATAAATAAATTTTTTTTTTGTAGAAAAGTGTAGATTTGTAAAGTTGTGAATAATCTCATTGTTCAAATAAGTTGATTTCTAGGGAATTAGAAAAATGTATTACCTGAGTAAATTATATCGTTTTGTGCAGAATTATATGATAAATTTTTCAAAAAATGAACGTATCGGACTCTAGATTTTTTTAGTCCTGGCAACTTCTTGTTTAGTGATCTCTGTCCCGATGATTTTAGTTTTTCGGGCTCCGGTTTCGATCTACAAAAAAAACATCTCAGAATTTATTCGTATCACCTCTAAAGCAATTCTTCAATACTCGTATTTTTTTGTTTTATTTAGTTAACGACTAGCACTTTTTTTGGGTCATCTCTCTTGTATTATGTTCTGATTCATATGATTTATAAGATAATTTACTTGAAACTCATACAAAAGTTTTTTCCGATAGTCTCGATCCCATTCTCAACAATTTCTCTGTTCAGTGGTCCTAATCCTGGACACTGATGAAGTTTTGTTTTTGAGTCTCGTACATCTCTAGTCGTACCAATTAGCAAGCATAATTGCAAATAGAATACAAAATAATACACAAGTGAATTTCGAATTCGAAAAATTTACATAAAAAAGATTTCAAACAAATGTTCAATATCTTTTGACACATTGCATATGACGTCAAATTATGAGAATATAAGATAAAATGACGACACTGTATAAAAACTAATGATCACTGGTATTTTTTAAATTTTAAGAAAAGATAGGAATACAACAAATCTTATTTTACCTCCATAAAGATTATAAATTTTCAGTATGAAAACTTCTCAAATCCAACCAAATGTTTGTGTCAATTATAACCAGTTTTATTCGCTCTACTTGATACTGGTACTTTATATACCAAATCTGTATAGAGGATTACTACGATTTGATAGGATAGTTTTCATATCGAAAATTTATAATCTTTATGGAGATAAAATAGGATTTGTTACATCATTAAGAAAAAAAGTTAAAGAAGGTGGCAACCACACATAGTTTTTGTCAATTTCTTGTAGCAAAGTTATCCTACTGTTAAGTCTTATTTGTTTCAAATAATTATTTGTAAAGATTCAACAATTCAGCACCATCTGTTGATGGTATTTCTAGTAAATCTAAAGAAACAAATGTTATTATGACACCACAATAGTAGACGTCTGTACTTGAAAGAATGACGTCAAATGACAAGTTCTGTGTATGTAAATAGAAAGGAAAGCAAAATAACGTGAGTAATGAAGCGTTTTTGTTTTTCTTTTGCATATTTTTGTTAGTAGGCATTGTGTAAAGATGTAAGCTAAAGTGTTTGATAACAAAAAATTAATTATGCTTTCTCTCATAAATATCTACTGTCGGAATAATCTGAAAGTAATAAATAGTTGAAAGTAATTTAATCTCATAAATGTTTCATAATAATCAAGGAAATTTATCTTTTTTTTTAATGTTTTTGTCTTCTATCATTAAAAAACAATATATTTTTTTCATTTCTTATCATATGATTCAGGTGAATCATCTTAAGAAAAAACAACCCTGGTGCAGTTACACGTACATTTTTATTAATAAAAATTTCTATGATGACGTACTTTAATAGACGGAGAACGCAAACAAAACATCAGATTGCACTTGTGGTACATGATAAGGCAAGTATGTTTTTCGCGGAAAAGCGCTCGATCGAAAGCATTTTCTATTTATGTAGGGCGCTCCAAAGGTGTCGGTGTAAGCAAATGAGTCGGCCTCTTCATGTTTAACAAGCTAGTATAAAAATTAAGGTATTCGAACAGTCTAAAGTAGTAAACGAGTCTTTCAACGAAACGATTTTCAGCGAAATACAATACATCCCGTGATAGAATATTCATGAAAACATTTTTAAGATAAAATCTAAAACTTTTTTTTCCTTTTGAATTTTGTTGTTTTAGATCTTTGTTTTTTGAAATAATTTGGTAAAAAAAAATACATAGTAACGGCCTGGTCAATGAATAAACGTGTACATAAACGTAAGCACAATAATTTTTTTTTAGAAATATTGTTTTTAATCTATAAATTTCTTTCGGTTGTTTTTTTTTGTATAGAAAGATCATTAAAATGGCAAAAGAGAGAATTAGCATTCAGCTGGAACGAATCGAATAGACTTAAAACTATTCGTCATCGTACATTTTCTCATTGGTCTTACCCAGTATCATTTCTTTCTCGAATGATTGACGCTGGATTTTTTGGTTGCAATATTGATGATCGAGTTATTTGTATTTATTGTGATCTGATATGTCAACAATGGAATATTGAAATAGATGATCCATGGGAAGTACATAAAATATTTTCACCAAATTGTTTTTTTGTCAAATCTACATCACACTGTGATGCATTAAAACACAATCACACTGTATTTACAGTGCCAAATTATATTGACTATGTAGATCCTAAAAAACGTTCAGCATCATTTTCTACTTGGTCTAAGAAAGGATTTCCATCGGTAGATAAACTTGTTGATGCAGGTTTCTTCTTCAATGGTTCTAAAATAATATGTTTCTATTGTAATGGTTCATTCAATAATTGGGAATTAAATAATCATCCAATCGCTGAACATGTACGATGCTTTCCATATTGTAATTATGCTAGGCAACTATGTGGTGAAGAATTATATCATAAAATTCAACAATCAACAAAACCTATGTCAGGTTTGTAAAGTCTATTGTAACTAACAATTTTCAACAAAAAAGAATTTAGTTTTATTAATGAATCATATTATTATTTATCTAGAAAATGCTAAAACTAGTGAATTTAAAAATGATCATCATCAACCAAATATACTTGATGATGGAACACTCTCACAACTCGTTTCTGCTTATCTTGATTTACCTATTTCAAAATGTTTATTAGAAGAGAAAAAATTTGAACGATCAGTTGTTGAACATTGTTGGAAAGATCAACTTCGATATAAACGTAAAAAACATAAAATAACGATTTTTTTGTCTTTTCTTATGAATATATTTTCATTTATTTAGATGATAGTTCTATCGATAATAGTGATTTACTTATAGCATGTGAAATTATCAAAAAACAGATGGAGCTTATCGATCTAAAGAAGAAGGATGTTATCATTCCAAGTATTGCATTGAAAGAGTTTTATGAGAACAAACAACAATCTTTCAATGGTAGACATTCATCGTCGTCTTACTTATTGAATAACATAAATCAATCGTATACTGGTAAGAAAGAGTTCTCTTGTTCAATCAGATAAAAAAAAACGTTTAAATTTTAATTAAAATATAGATATATCAAAATCGTTTGAGGATGATCTTCGAAACTATCAAAGAAATCGACAAAGTATGTTTAATTTAAGATTAAAAATAAAATTTTTATTTAATTTTTTTCTGTCAAAATATAGAATTAGGTGTAGAATTTACTGAACAATCAAGTATAACTATTGAACGAGAACAATCATTAATAAATTGGTCATGTACCAAACCATCACGTTATGATATGACTAAAGGAGGTTGGATCATATCTGATACAGAAAATTATTCAAAATGTCCTCATTGTCATATGCATTATTACAATTGGAAATCTAATGATAATCCTTTAATTATTCACAAATATCTTTCACCACTGTGTTTATTTGTTCTGGCATCCAATCCATTCAATTCAAATCCAGTACCAATAAGAACAATGAAAGAAAATTTCACAGATACAGACATTATAAATGCCGAATCACAACCATATGATGGTCTTGTTCAATCCAAATATGAATCTGTTTTCATGTTGTCTGAAAGACAACGTTCATTCGAAAGCTATCCTGGTGGTTGCCCTATTAATGCTCATGAGCTGGCAATATCTGGTTTATACTATCCAAATCGGGGTAGATTTATCAAGTGCTTCTATTGTAAACGTAGTATACCTGCTGTCAACAGCAGTTCACGACCTCATCCATATCTCAAAGATCTACATTGTCTTTTTCCATGCCGTTATGTTCGCCAATTGAATGACATCGATCCAGAATTCTCGACACGACAAGGTAAAATATCAAGTGTACATATAAAATTAATATTCAATATTTTTTATATAGTTTCTCATAAATGTGCATGGTGTATGATTGAAGAAAAAAAACTTACGGCTTTACCATGTCGCCATTTTTGTTTATGTAAGTCGTGTGGTCAAATCAAACGCTTATGTCCAATATGTCAAGAACATATAACTGCATATGTTATTATCTATTCAGCTTGATAACATGGCTAATGAATTCAATAAAATACAATTTATTGTGCAAAGTTCAATTAATTGGATGAAAAATCTTCAGTGATATTTCATCATGCTGGTTACAGATGAAAGAATAAGTCACCCGACAAATATATTCATTATATAATCCGGATATAATCAAAACATAATAGTATTATTTATACCTGATGAACACCGCTACTAATTTTGATGTATCATTTAGTCTGAAGAGATATTTGTCTTAAGTTTTTTATTTAATAAAAAAAAAAGGGTAGGGAGGGAGGTAAAAAAAAATTAATGGACAATCGAATTTAAAGAACTAATGGGATAAAATATGCACAAGTACATTGAATAATTATGTATAGCATAGATAAATGTTAGATATTACTCATAATATATGCAGCTCATATGTAAAAAATCAATCGATTATAAATATGTTCTCTTTGTCTTTACGCGTTCTTTTACGATACATTGCTGATGTTTCTTTATGTTTAAAATTAGAAATAATTGATAAGAGAATCGTTTTATATGTGAAACACTGAACACCATTAAAAATGATTTTCTTAATATGACATGATTTCAAAGAATAATTTTTGAACTTATTATGATTATACTTTTTTTGTACAGAAGTACATTCAAGCTAAGTTAAAAAAGTATGGCAAGTAAACAGAATATTGCCTTTATTCATCTCTCATCAATTAAATAATAATGTGAAGACTATACTCTACTATATTAATACCAAAAAACCCATCTAAGTTTTACTTGAAAAGTGTACAACCAACGATATCCAGTAATAAATATGTGTAATGTACAATTTAATCATAAATACGCAGCAATCCTTTAATAATTGATCCACATGTTGGACACGACTTTAAACCATGCCCACATGGTACACACACAGTGAAATGGCCACAAGGCACAAATGCAAGTGCTCGATGATTTTTTGAACAGACAATACATAGGTTCATAGCAACATTTGTAGATGTTTGCTGAGAAGACGATTGAGACAATGATCTGTTCTTATCATCAGACATGTGCGATTCTGTCTCAGAATATTTATCCACGGGTAATGTATTTTTGGATTTATCATCATTATCTGGTGATGTCATACTTATGTAGTCGTAAATAGCATCAAATTTTGAAACTAGAAAACAATATAAAAAATTACTGTATTAAGTCCAAAAGATAACAAAGAAAAGGAAAAACTATACGCACTGTTCATATCAAGAAACTGTTCGCTATTAGGCAGGCCCCGCGCGAAGGTCCCAGGATTGGGGGGGGGGGGTACAATGGGTCCTGAGGCAGCTATGCTTGAGCGAAGCAAAATTTTTTTCAGTGGCGTAGCCAAGGGGAAAGAGGATCGGTCCCCTTCCAAGAAAAATTTCCTGGTGGAGTACAGAGTTCAATTTTCGCGAAGTGAAAATTGTTTTTTACTATGATGGTCCCCCTTGGAACCCTGGTTCCTCCTCTTAGAAAACTTCTGGCTACGCACCTGATTTTTTTTCGCATTAGATCTGATATTAATGTCTCTCTTGCAACCTAAAATGTAAGAATTTCTCGCAAAGCGAAAACTTTTTGCAACCTTCTTAAAAAATTCGACTTTTTCGGGCAAATTTTCAAGAAGACAAATTATGTCCAATGTAAGAAAATTTTTCAACAATTCGGCCGGCGAAGGCGGCCACGCTGGTGACGATTGTTCTCGATTAGGTCTTTCAAAGGGAAAATCGACTAAAGTTGGAAGTTTTTCTAAGTTAACTTTGGTTATACAACTGTTATTTTTTGCGAAGCGAAAACTTTTCTCAGACTTATGAAAAACTCGTCTTTTGCTTATTTTTTTCGAAAGGAAAGAGTGTTGCGATAAGTCGTAACAATTTTGCCGCCAAAGACGGCCACCTAGTGATGATTGCTTGAAAATGAAGCTGCTCACAAGGTAGAAAACCGTAAAATTGTCATAAAAATAGAAAAATCATAGACATTTTTAGGCTGAATACGCTTATACGGTTATTCCTTCGCGAAGCGACAAATTTTAACATCTCAGAATTTTCTAGAAAAACCATTGTTTTACACTGGGTTTCGAGGAAAAAAAACCATCTGATTTCTTCAACTTGCCATAGAACTTCATGTTTTTCACCGATATCCCAACTATAGTTTACAATTATTCGGGAAAGGTCATCCCCTGACTCCATCGCTACTCAGAATCCTTTTGGGAGATGTCTGAAAAACCTCTAACAGGGAGGATATTTTAAAAGTTCAAAAAAATTCATCCACTTTGCTGGCTAATAATAAATAATTTTCAATTATTGGGGGGTGTACACCCTCCCACACCCCCCTCCCCACTTTCGCGGGTGCTGCTATTAGGTTTGTGATCATTTTAAAATCGACTAACTTAGTTGATATCGACCATCGAGCTCTATTTATATGAGCTAGGATTTTAGAAAACCTAATCTTATCCTTTCCAATATATTTGGGACAACTCCATTTCAACTAATATGATCTGAAATGAAGCTTTCATAAACCAATAGAATCGAATAAACAGTACACTAAAATAAAATGGGTCGTATACGAATTTGTTGCGTTCTGTCTGCTGACTATTCATTCATCGTTTTATTTTGCATACACAGTTCTATGTAGACAATTCAAGGCTGGACAGATCTCGAGATCTGACCTGCTTAAGTTTTTAGATTATGAATAATTAAATGGAAAAGATTGAAAAAAATATAATTTTCTTTTACATACAAAAAACAAAATGAAAAATTCGCTGCATACTAGATTCGAACAACGTTTTCAGAAGGTGTCGCCTGTGTCGTGCTGTCGCGGGACAGAATATATCGTAATGAGCACCTCGTGTCGTACTTAGATCTGTTGTGCATTGTGTTAAAAAGTACTACACATGCGACACATTTTATTTTAGTGTGAAAGCATTGAATAGTCTAGCTCACATAAAAAGAGTCGATTACCAACTCTATTCGTATAGAACTAGCTGATTACCGGTTGTTTGATTCGGCTCTTATGGATCATTTACCTACGAACGATTGCACATGTGTTCGTAATTAAATATTTGTAAACCTAACATTTCTCTCATTCGTTCTTGTTGACGAAGTCATATGTTATCGATTCAATATTTTAATGACAAGCAATAGAGTCATTTCGTGAATATGTTTCAAACTTGTATCAAGAAGAAAACTATTTGTACACTACATTTGAAAAAAAGTGTCTTAAACAAGAAATAATAAGAGATGCAAATCACTTTTATTTAATCTTCTTATTAAAAAAAAGTCATGATTTTTCCTACAATTCAAAACGTGACAGAAAACAGAAAAATAATTTTTACCTCCTGGAATGACTCACTATTTGGTGTATTTTATGCAACTTGGAATATTCCAAGTGATATTACTATATAAAACATGATTTGTTTGTGTGTGGATTGGGTTTGTATGTACCAATCACAAGATCTTTTAATATATAAAATTATCTTTTTGAACTTTGTATGAAATTGTTTTCCTTTGTTTTTCTAGAAATTGTAAGAAGTTTTCGAGAATTTTATAAAAGCACTCAACGAATCGAGATGTCAGGTCATGTACTTCTTAGTCTTATTTCTTTCTTTTTTTTTGTTATTGCAATCTTTAAGAGATAAAAATATTAGTAGAATTAACTGATGTTTCTATTTGTGAAAGAACTTTCTTCGTTCATCAACTTTATTGCATCTAAGAAAAATAAAAAAACTTTTTCTAATTGATACTAAAAATGAGGGAAAACAGTGAATGACATAATGCATAAGACCATATACTATTTTTTTACAGTGTATTTTTGACTAGGCATGCACCAAACCCAAGCCCAAACCCAAACTGTTTGGGAGTTTGGGTTTTGGTATTGAGTTTGGGTTTGGGTTTGAGTTGGAGTTTGAGTTTGATCAACAGTCGTATATCAAAAGCTTAGATACATGGACCATAATCAAATTTAAACCCAAACTCATACCCAGACCCTACCCAAACCCAAACTCAATACCCAAATTCACCAAACCCAAACGGTTTGGGTTTGGTGCATGCCTATTTTTGACAAAACGACATATCAACAATCTCTTTTGTATTTCAGAGGCTAGATGTAATTTTGATGTAATGATGAAAACGGTGTGTAGCTTATATTAATTATATTTTTATGTTACTTTATGTTTCTGACTTGAAACTTTTATCGATCAATATTGAAGTTAATATTGTTTCGCCATTTCAACAATGATGCCTACAAATCCAAAGATCATTAGTACTATACAACTACGGTAGAGAAAAAAAAGTCATATAAACAGACAGGATCAGCTTACGCGTTCTGTCCCGTTCTGATGATACACAATGACTTGAAACTTATATTACGATTATTTTATTTGAAGATTTATGAATATTCTTTTAAACATCATCAAATTTTCAATGTATGTTTCATTTGAATAATATTCTTTAATCATATTTATCTCAAACATTGATATGAATATATAATGTTTGAAAAGAAGTATGTAATCTTGATAATATTCATATAATTCTTTATGTTTTCAATTAGTTTTATTTGTTTAATTATATTCTGAAAAAGTTTAAATAGAACTCATTCAGATTAAATAACACATGAGAATAAAATGATCTTCATAACTTCATTTCTTAAATAAAGTAATTGGAGATCCACTGTATATAATTGAATCGTCATGGAATCATACAACAAATAAGAATATATCTAAAAAAAACAACGTCCACATAACAAAAAAATGTTTTTTTGTAGAACAAAAAAAAAAGAAAACAAAGAATCAAACAATAATATATTAATTTATTGTTATCATGAAGATAATTTGGTAAGAATGTCAAAAGCTCCTGTACCACATTGAACCATACGTCCAGTAACTAAACGAGAAGAAGGAGATTTCAATTCTTCATGTTCACCTAAATAACGAAAAACAAAAAAATAAGTTTTTCTTTTATACAAATGATTAAAAATAATTAGTTCTTTACCGTATAACAATGCCTCTCTTAAATAAGTTGTTGATGTTTCAAATGTAATTTTTTGTAATGGACTTGCATTAGTTCTTAAACCTAAACGATTACATGGTTTATAAACACCTTCATATGTCATATAATCAGCTAATAAAGATAAATGTCTATAATCAACTTCAATACCATAAGCACCAAATACTCGATTTATTTCACGTATTAATGTACGATTAGCTGCTTCAATACCAAATATTTGTGCCATACGATGAATATTATTTGTATATATTCGACGTAAATCAAATATTTGATAATATGTCATTAATGCATTTATATTTTCACCTTCAGTTGAAAGAATATATTCAATATCATTAGAATCAGTTTTTATTTTTGAACGATATTCTTTATTTTCTGTTATAAAACAATTTTGAATACCAACAATTGATGTTATCGATGTTCGAGATGCTTCACTATGAATTAATGTTTCAAGATCAATACGAGGTTGTGTAGCAGGAAATATTATTGTTAAACGACACCATAAATTATTCTCAAGATCAGCAATATAGTCACGTATATAATCAGCATGTTTACAAACATTCTAAAATGAAAAATCAAAACTATATCGTTCTATTTTTTTTTTGTTTGTTATATACATACACCAAATCGTTCGTTGTATGTCATATTATCCATATGAGTAGTTTTAGTATTGATTTTCTTTGCTTTTTTACTTGGTGGTTCATCGTTATTATTTTCCTCATTGTCTGGTACTTCTTGTTCATCATCATTATTCATTTCTTCTTTAGATATATCCAATGCTATTTAAAAAAAAACAAAAAAGAATTTTTTGTTTGAAAATTAGTTATTATAGACTGTTACATTCACTAACAAAATATTAGTTAAAAGAATTTTATTCTCTGACTTTAGTTACTATTTAATCCTAGTTTTATGAACGGCAAATGTGATAGGGAAGTCACAAACGAGTTCAGACTATGTATATATACGGTAGGTCCTAATGAATTTTGAATATCTTGAAAAGAGTTGTTGCTGAGATGCTTCATTCTTAAAGTATTTTTTAAAATACAATGCATGCTGTAATTCTCCTTAGGAATACAAGAAAAACTTATTCTTGGTGTTAAACTTAAAGCTTTGCATAGAGATAAATCTTAATGAAAATAATTTATTATGAAAGTTTCAGATCTTTTTATTATTTCTATCTTAAGATACAGCTATGATAAAAGCTTGTCTTTTATATTGCTCATATACATCTATAGATTCAATGTTCTTATTTCAAGATAGAAGCAAATTAAAATATTTGAAACGTTCACAATAAACAATTCTCGTTAAAGTCTGTCTCTGTATGCAAAGATTCAAGTTGAAATTCAAAAATAAGTTTTCCTGAAGGAAACCACAACATTCACTTAAAAAATACCATAAAAATGAAGTAGCTCGATAGCAATAATATAAGAATCTGAATTCTTTTTAAGTTATTTATAGTTCATTAGAACTTACATGATGAATATACTTTCAACTCAAAAGAGATTGAACAATTGTTGAATTTATCTCATCAGTTCTACTGAATATATTATAATAAACATGTTACATCAAGAATGCACACTAATAGTGCATAAGAATTTCACATACTGGAAGATAAGTCGTTAAAATTCATCAGGATCTGCTAAGAAAAATGAATTCTGAAGTCAAAGAATAAATCTCATGATTTCAACATTCGTGTTTTTATTTCTCTGATTTATTTTCAATAAGATTACCTGGTACATCATCATCATCATCATCATCATCATCAATGACATCTTCTTTAATAGTGATTTTCGATGTATTTGTTTGATCATCTTCATCTTGATTATCTTGTATTGCTTCTTCATCATCAGTTTCATTTTCTTCATTATTATTATTATTATTATCATCATCATCATATTCTTTTTCATCATTTCTATTAGCTTTTTCTTTGGCTGTATTAGCTTCACCATTAATTTGTTCATCATCTTCATCATCGTCATCATCATCATCATCTTTTTCAACTAATTCTTGTTGTTCATCTTTATTATTTGAATCATTAATTGTTATTTTATCACGAATCTGTGCTGATCTTAAAAGACCACTTGTTGTTAATTCTTTACGTTTTTTATTTATTGAACGACATAAACGTGGAATAAAATATATTTCAAATGAACGTATAATTTCATTTAATTGTTTTTTTCCATATTTTTCATCAAAATAAAATTCAATTTTATATGTACGTTTATGATCATTTAATTTTAATGAAAGTTTTTCATGAATACTTAAATTTTTTAATACTTGAGAAAATAAAAGACGAGACCAACGACGTTGTAAACGTTTTGCTTTACGTAATGATGATGAACTATGTAAAATAGGTACTTCCATTGTTGGTGTTTTTACTTTTTGAGAAGCAACCATAAGTAATTCACGAAGACGTGGAACACCTAATGTTACATTCATTTCACCACGACCAGCAAAATGAAAAGCTTAAAAAGCAAAAAAAAAAAATATGTCAAATAGGATTGTTAAAATAAGGAAAAAAATTGATATCTTATTTTTAATGAAATTCAAGTAGTGGTTTATAATAAATGGGAGCTAAGATTATATACAAAAACAAAAAAGCAGTTCTGATATGCTTAGATTCTCCTGGATTCTCTTGAATTCCGACAGACTCTTTGATTGTTGAAATTTAATTAGATACGCACTTCCTTCTTTAATTTCAAATCATAGTAGAATTCGCTGACTTGCAATATATTTGTTGGATTTCAATAAGTTTCGACGCGTTCGAATACATCTGTTCTAGAACTCATTGGTATTAATAAGCATCTCTTCAATTTACAGATAAATTGAAGTTATGAAATGAGATTTAATTCAAATATAGACATGTTGTAGTTACATGTCGACTAAGTTAATGTATTGTTTATCCAATTTTCAATGATCTGAATTGATACTACTCTCACTAACTCTTCGATAATAAATTGATTCGAAATCTAAATCTATAAATCATCTTATATCAAGTGAAAATTTTAAAATATCGTTTCAAATTCAGTTGAATTCATTTTCGAACTGTGTTCATCTCGACAAAGTATAAAAATTATCTTTGTTACTGTCATGTTTTTTTCTAGTTGATAAAAAAAAAAGATCGAATTTGATTACAAATAACAAAAACTGCTGTTGCTAATTACAAAGATATTACGAGATATTATTGATAAGCGATCTGTGATCGTATTTTAATTTTTGTCACAGTCTGTTGAACGAGGAGAAGTTCAAAATAGTTCAAATATATGATGATAGAATTCATATTTGAATATAACTTACTATTCAATGTCATTTGTGTACTAGGTTCTCCAATAGATTGTGCAGCTAAAATTCCAACACTTTCACCTGGATCAATACATGATTTAAGTGATTTAAAATGAATCATTTTTTCAAATATTCGTTTATCCATATTAGTTTGATCTAATTTTCCATGTGTTGTAATATAATTTCTTATTAAATCATCTAAACGTTCAGTAATAGCACCTAAATTCGATGCTGGTAAATAATTTTGTGTAACAGGTGAATAAAATTTAACAACACCATGATTATATTGTTGACGTTTATCATCAGATAAATTTCTCCATGTTTGAACCATAATTGAACGTGCTTCATTAATATCTTTACTTTTTAATGAATTTGTTAATGTATGTAAATCAAAAAAACGTGAATAATTTATAAATGGTGTCATACGTATTTTAGTTTCATCACTTATTTTTAAATATATTGAATCATTTAAATTATTTTCATCATCAACTAAATCACGTGTCTTTTTTCTCCATGCACGAATTTTTTTTAATGTTTTTATTATAGGTTTTTCTTTTGTTGAACCACACATATCAACAATACGTGAATATTCATTTTCACGTAATATTGTTGATTGATTAGCAATAAGAAATGGATAATATGCTTCTTTTAAATAAGTACATTTTTCAACAGCTAAACCATCTTCACCATATTGAAATTGTATAACACTTCCATCACTATCACGTACTGTTAAATCATAATTAACAACTAAACCTTCTAAATGTTTCATTAAACAACGTTGTAAATAACCAATACGTGCAGTTTTTACAGCTGTATCAATAAGACCCTAAAATGAAAGAAAAATAAAAATAAATTTTGAAAAAAAAAAAAAAAAAAAACAAACAAATGTTTGTCATACTTCTCGTCCAGCCATACAATGAAAAAAATATTCTTGTGGACGAATACCACTTAAAAAACTTCCATCAACAAAACCACCTGATCGTGGTGAATATTCATATGGACGAAATGATGGTAATGTTCGACCACTTGGCATCATTGGTGGACGTTTACCTTCTAATTCTTGTTGACCAAGTAAACAAGACATTTGCATTGCATTTACAGATGAACCTTAAATAATATTAAAAATTTTTTATTACTATAACTTTGGAATTAGTAGTAGAGATTTTATTTCGGTTTCTTTTTAAAATGTTAACACAATAGAGATTTAAAAGATGTGAGGGATCGTCGAATTCTCCGATGAACACAATTTGATTTGTTCAATGAAAAACGTCAATCGATTTATAATTTATTAGTATGCTTCTAAAGGAAGATCTTTGTTAAAAATAACTCATAGATATTCAATCTTGGTCTATGTCATAGCATATATTATACTACAACGAATGACAAACGGAACTTATTCAAAACTGTTCATATATCAATGTATGAAAAGCTTTTTAGAACATTTTTTTGAATTTAGGTTTAATAACTTTCTTTTTAATTTTTCTAAATCGGATAACTTTAGTCGATAAAAGTGAGAAAATCTCGATTTCTGTATCACATTCTAAATTTCCAAGATTTTTTGAAATTACTTATAATACAATTTATTAGTTACTGACATTTTTTCAGTATGCAATTCAACCAGTCTCATAAAAATAACTGACAAATAATTGAGATCGATTATAATACACATCGTCAAAATTTAGTTCTAACTTGAGATCTTCAGATATGCATTAGGTATATTCAATTGTCACTGATATGAAGATATCAATGTATATCATCGAATTGATTAGTTCATTGCTGTCTGCTGTTTAGTTGTAGCTTCTTTGATGTATCTAATTTCGTTTATTCAATATGTTTTCTATTAACGAACAAATGATTTTTCTTTTGTGAGCTGAAAAAAGTGTACACATGAGCATTAATGGTAGACAATTGTTTAGAAACTGACAAATAAGAAATAGGCATGTTTTAATACCATTCTGTTATGAAATTATACATAGTCTAGAAATGAAATAATGGAAATTTTTATGAAATTAACAGAAATCTGAGATATGTCATAGAGCTGAACGATGGTCAACTGAGAGAGAGAGAGAGAGAGAGGTTTTCGGACTCGAAAAACAAATGCCAATATGAGGTGAGTACGATATCCATTATTGAAACACTCATAAGATCTGAATTATCTATTTCATACAAATAAGAAGCCCTCATTTTGATAGTAAAGAGTTTACTTTATACTTCTGTCAAGATAATCGAAATATATCTTGCGTTTTTGAAATGTACATAAGCTTCTAAAATAACGTCGCCTGTCAGAACCGTGTAGAAGTTTTTCCTTAACTTCTCTAAAACTCGATGCTTTCTCAAACCAAAGTATCGCAATAAGCGTAGTTTAGCATATCTATACTAAGATTTCCAAAGTACTGATGACAGATGAATATATAAATGAGAAAAGTAGTGTAACGAATGCATCATGCAGGTTATATGATAACATGAAAATGAAAAAGTATACGAGTCGATTTTTAGTTCGTCCATATAACTATCATAACTCGTATCAAAGTTCTCAGACTTCAATTTCTGGAATCTTATACACTTCTGTGCTTGTAAACAAATCAAATCATAGTTACACTATTAAAAAAAAAACTAGACCGCAATAAAAGCCCATCTCCAAACTTTTGACTTGCGAAATAAATTATTATCCCCATGAGCTACTATTCTGTGAAGGGTTTTCAGGTCGGCAAAACCCAAAATCGATTCGATAGTCATACAAAAATTCAATTGACATATTTATTAAAAGATTCAAGAATAGAATTAGTCGACGTGAAATAATAAATGTAGGATAGAAGACTTTATACATAGATTTCGATTTCTACTAATCAATGATTTCAACCTATTTAAACTTCAAATATCTCACAATAAACGAAAACAAATCTAAATAAAAAAAATCAATAGTTTTTACCTTTAGCACCCGATTGAATTAAAAATTGTAAATTATTATCTGGAAATTGTTTAAATAAATGTGACATACATTGTTTAATAATTTGATTTTGATATTCATCAATAGATGTTTTATAATTTATATCCATTTCTTTTGATATACGTTCATCAAATGTTTTTGAACAAAATGCTTTAGCAAATTCATCAATAAGTATTTCTTCATTAGAATTTTCCGAAAGAGAAAATGTTTTTTGTAAAGCTTTTTGTCCTGCTTGAGTACGACATTCATTTATTAATCGACGTCGATGTGATACACCAGGTGAAAGTAAAAGAACATCTTTTAAAAAAAAAAAAAAAAATATTTATTTCTAGATCAAAAACAACAACAACAACAAATTTTTTACCTTCAATTCCAAGTGTAAATCCTCGATAATATTGTAAAAAAAGTGTAAATAATTTTGAAAAAGCAGTAATAAGATCAGCAGCACAACGTTTTCCATATAATTCATAATAACAATGAACAACAGATGCAAGTGTTGAACCACAATGTGCTTTATCAATTAAACCAGATAGAAGATGTCCATGACGAATAATAACATCTGTATCAGCCATTAAATCAATATTTGTTGCATTTGGTTTCGATGGCCATGACTATTAGAAAATTATTTTTTCTTTTTTCTTATTATTTATATATATTAATTTTCTTTACTTTCATTGAAAGTTTTGATTTACTATCGAGATTAAGTGATGCTTCATCAGCTGGTTGAATATAAAGAAGAACTGTTGAAATAATCTTAATAAAAAAAAAAAACTAAATAGATTTTATTAAGAGAAATAAAACAAAATAAACTTGTTTTCCAGTCCATAATTGTTTTGGTTTCCAAATACATGGTGGTAATAAACAAATTTTTCGACGAGAATGTGATCCAATAGCATTATATACAAGTTGTTGATAATCAGATCTTAAAACAAAAAGATTTATATAAATATAATTTTTTTACTTTGAATAAAATAAATACTTTTCAAAAAATCGATCACGCATTGTTAATGCTGTACCAGCAACGACATGATCTTGAATAAGACCAGTTAACGGTGTTCCATCTTTGCTTACAAGAAAATGTTGATAAGTTATCACTAATTGAAAACAAAAAAAAATTTTTTTTTTCTGTTTTTTTAAAGAAAAAAAAAGTAAAATACTTACTTAATTCAGCAGCTTCAGCTCGTGTTAATTCATTTTGTGGTAAATGAATATTCATTTCATCACCATCAAAATCAGCATTATATGATTTACATTGAGCATAATGTAGTCGTAAGGTTTTTTCACCAGGTAATACTCGAGCCTGATAATGAATATAATTCAAAGAATAATGTAAAAAAAAAGAAATAAATTTACCATATGAGCTTGTATACTTGGCCGATGTAATGTTGGTTGACGATTAACAAGAACATAATCACCGTTTCGAAGATGTCGATAAACTTTTTTCGTAGACATTAAAGTTGTATTACCATGTTGTTTTTCTCTTGTTAATAAAAGTTTAGCAACAGCTGTTCGTTGAGATAAATTATTTGGTAATAAACGACGAATTGTTCCATCTTCAAGTTCAACAAAATTTGCTCTAAAATAACAAAAATAATCTTTTATTATATTCATAAAAAAAAGTTCTTTTTTTTTGTTTTGTTATACCCAGGATGAACATCTGGTCCATTAAGAATTAATTGACGTAATTCATGAACATTATGTGGTGTAACTAATTCTGGATAAGTTAATTTTTTTGCAAATATTTCAGGTATTCCAACTTCATAAATTGCAATAAATGGATCAGGTGATATTACTGATCGACCAGCATAATTTACACGTTTACCCATCATATGCATACGAAATAAACCTTCCTTTTTTTCAATAACCTTTTATTATTTTCAAAAATAAAAATTTGTTTTACAATAAGAAATAAAAAAAACAAAACCTAATAACATACTTGTCGAATACCTTTGGCTACTCGAGCACCACTTCGATTATCTAATGAACTATCAAATATAGAATTAACAGTAATTTGCATTTTAAGCCAAAGATTATTAAGTTTTTCTTCATTTGTTCCACCACGTAAAGTATTAGTTAAAGATGATCGATTCTGAATATACAAAGACAAAAAGCTATTAATGCAAACAATGCAGAATTAAAATATGAAACACGATGGAACTGTTGATATTGTAAAAGAGACGATTAATCAATATATATATATTTCGGTTTATAAATTTCTACCTACTGTTAATGCATATCAATGATGGAAGATATTGATCGCAGTGAGTGTGAAAGAAAAATCAAGAACAATTCTAATACTAATCTCGTGATTATATCTGTCATGTTTGTGCGAAAGGAAGAGGAGTCGAAATTTCTACGGTCATATTTCTTTTAGATCGTGTTTTATAAAAAATAATAAAATCTAAAGACTAATTTAATAAAAATATCTTACAGTAGTTGATGTTGGTATGTCTGTAGTTTGTTTATCTTTTAATAATAAAAGTTCTTTCATATATTGATTATCTTGAATAATTGTTGAATATCGAACTGTTTTTGGATTTTCAAATTTTTGATCATTAAATGATAAAACCTTAATCAAAAAAAATAAATTTTCTAATTTAAATCTTTCTTTCTTTTTTTTTTTTTAAATATAATTAAATACATACGGGACGAAATTTTGAAGGTAAAACAGGTAAAACTTCAAAAAAGAATAAACTTATTGGATTATTATGAATATGTGTTATTGAATGATGTGGTGATCGTAAAGTAGCTAAATAAATTCCAAGTACTTCTTTTTCATTTGTCCAAATTTTTTCGAAATGTTTTAATACATCTAATGGTGTTAAATACATTTGACTAGACATCATTTTTGTTAACATTTCTTCTTCATCATCATTATCTTTTGATTCATCATTATTATTCATATTTTTTTGTTGTCTATAATCAAAGGACAAAAAGGATTTATCAATTCGAATAAGAATTTTTTGTCGCATTCATATTTAGTATTGTGCTTATGTAGATTTCAATAGGCTATCGTTCATTTAGATCTCAGTGAAGATTTTATGGTAACTTCACTAGGAATCAGTTAAACTTCTTCGATTTTATTGGATCTGCAATTGAAACTAACGAGGAGATCCGCACAAACTGATTAAGGCCTTCCTCCTCTCAAAAAATGTCAATTTTCGATATTGACGTAAATGCATGGAAAGATAGTCCATCATTTGCTTTTTCATAAACGATAAAAGTTTTTCTTCGATATCTCACTTTTTCCCCAAAATTTTCAGGATTTCTGAGAACCTCTTTTCGAAAAACCAAAAAATCGTTTTCGTTTTTTCTCCTTTTATAATTTTTTCATCTTCTGTCCAAAATTTCTCGGTCCAGACTCTTTCAACACTTAAAAAATTTTTTTTTGTTTGAAAGAGCATGTCAAGATGCAGGACACTACAGAATCTTTTTTTTTTAATTAAGCTTTATTTTTATTATATATACAGACATTTATGTAACTAGACACCCATTTTTTTTGAGTCATTGAACTTGTGATTTCCTTTCTTCGCTAAAAAAGTAAGAATTTAAAAAAAGGATTCTGTGATGCCCTGCATATTGACATGCTCTTTCTAACAAAAAAAGATTTAAACATGTAGCACGAGCCTAGACTAAGAAACATTGGACAGGAAATGAGCTATTTTTCGACTCTTGTTTGGCTCATATCTCTGTCAAACATCCTGATATCGAGCTGAAAATTTTTACCAAAGCCTCCCCAATATATCCTGAAAATTTCAGCCTGCTTGACTTGCCTTGATGGGAAAATCGATTTTTGAGGGGGGAGGGAGGCCTTAAAAACTTTTGAGCTCATGTTTTACCAGTAAGTGGGACTACGAGAGTTCGAAAAGATTCGCCTCCATAAGCCTTCCCACAGCATCATAACCATTTTCCTGAAATGTCGTCCTACAACAAACAATCGAATTAAGGAATTTCAGCCTGAAATTTATCTATAAAAAGATTACATGATCTTTCACGTATCCTAAAAGTTTCAGACAGAATGATTGTTTCGTTTTGTCTGAAATGCGTTAATTCGATTGTTTGCTAAACACCTTGGTACAGAACGAAGTTTCATGAAAACGGTTATAATGCCGGGAAGGAAGACCTATGCTGTCAAATCATCGCTTGTGTAGAAAAATGCAATAATATATATTCTCACTGGACAAAGTCTGTCCATGCCAGTTCAGCCTAAATAAGTAAAACTAGTGCTACTTCGACTCGGTTATATTACTCAATGGCGAAGAGCACATATGCAAAAAGAAAATTAGTGAAGACATAATTAAGGTATCCTGACTTCTTCCAACATTTGGTTATTTGGACATGTATCTCGGTATTCTTTATTAGAACTAATAGGTTGTTGAGTACACTCAATAGATTGATTCGTATGATTATTCAAAGGACGATTATTCGAATTAGGCTATTGTTGAGAAATAATTCATTAAATACTTACCGAACATTAGACATACGTTCTTGATAAGCTTTTATTTGTTTATTTGAAATTCCTTGAGAATAAAAAAGTTTTGAATGTGAATCTGCACGAAGTGAACGTACAGGTGTATTACAATTGGGACAAAATTTTTCTAAAAAAAATAAAAAATAAAAATTTTATTCGTAATTTTTCTATGATCGAAAAAACAAAATATAAACTTTTTGTTTTAAATGCTCGTGCTTCAAAATCTTTTATAAGTTGTTGTCGAATGGCTAATAAATTTTTTGTTGTTGCTTCTATTTTAGTTGATGATGGTGGATTTAATTTCATATGTTCATTGATATGTTCATAAAATGTATCTAAAGATTTTCTTTCTAATATCCATGTTTTATAAATCGATTGTAAATTATCTATTTCATTTGTTTGACCATGTTTTAAATAAAGCATTTGCATACAAAATAAATATTTTTCTGCGTTTGAACATTGAATTGTATGACAATGAAGACAACAACCACGAAGAACCTTGAAAATTACCAAAAAACTGTATATATTAAAGCAAAATTGATTTATTTTCATTTACATTAACAAGATTTCGAAAGAATACTGGATTATAAACAGGTAGAACAAGAGATATATGTCCAAGATGACCTGGACAAGAAACAAATCCTTGACCACAAGTAAAACAACGATCATTTTTATCAAAAGGTCCTAATGCTAAATCATATGGACCACCGGGCACTGGTGCACCGAGACGATCGATTGCTGATGATGATGTTAATTCTTTTACACTTAAACGACGAATTTCTTCAGATGTATAATTACTGAATAGAAGACCACTGATTGTAGTATCGGATGGATAATAATTAATTGCATCCATCTTCTTTTTTTACTATGAAAATTAATGAAATAAGAATTCACTGAACAAATTTGGGATCAATCTCAAATGTGAATGGCTTATTAGAGAGAACCGATTAGAAATGATGAAAAAATTTTTATAGAATAAAATTAATAAAATTTAATTTTAGATATAAGAAAGATTTGAAAATATATCGAAAAATTTAAAAAAAATAAAGTTTTCCATGTTATTAAAGAGGACGCTACAAGACAATAGAGTTTATATCTCGTTATTTCGTAATTTAAAGATAAATATTTTTCTTTTGTAGATAATTATTAAAATTTAAATTGTCAAATTAAATTTTGATATTGTTTTAACAACTATATTTTATGATTTATTTTTGTTAACGATTAAATCTATTTTTAATATAAGAAAACATCAAACCATATAATTGTAAGCAGATAGTTCCAGAAAAATCGTATTTATTGTAGAAAATCAATACATATTAATCATTCCATATAGATTAATATGTTTATCTGTATTTTCATCGCAACTTTGTCCTATACTGAAATTTGCAGCTCAGCATGACATGTACACGGTCACATACGGATCGTATCGTTTAACATGTGGATGATATAAATTATGACAACGAAAACAATATTATGTGCAACAATGTGTCTCTTGAGAGCATATCCTTTATTTCTTTAGTGTGCCATGTCTTAATGAAAACATAAGGATATAGACTAATATTATCATAAATGTTTGCTATTGACACAGTCTTCTCCTAAAGACAAATTTTCAATTATTGTCCTGCCACTAATTATTGTACAATGGTTCTAGAACTATATTTTACATCACTTCGGCATTTCTAATGATGATCCAAAACTAGTTAAATGTATGTGTACATCGTTCTTTCGTAAGTAGAGCGTATCAAAATGTACAATGATGAGGTTTTATAAAGAATGTATAAAAAAAAACAAAAGGAAAATCAAATCATTTTTTTCATTTGACGAAAATATCTATCGATGATGAAAAACAGATGGTAAGTGCAAAATACATTTGTGTCCTTTTTTCTCCTCCTCATATAATAAAAGAGAGACTTAAGGATAAAAGAAAAAAGTTATATTTTCTACGAAAACAATTGAATAAATGTTATTTTTCCAGCCAAGTGTATTGTATACATTAACCTTTTACTTCGTACACCTGTTATTAGAAACATTGCTTCAACTATTCCAATTTAGTATTGAAATATAGATTGCGTAATCAAAGTTATTGGACAGTTTTAAAAATTGGTTAAAATAAAGATTTAAGTTCGATACAATTAAATCTAAATTTTATCAAGATTATTAAATAGTGCTGCCACCTATTGATTTTATCTATTTTCTATAGCTATCAAATTCTACAGTTATCTATATGAATAGAAAATCATTTTAAAATAAAGAATTTCATATTTTAAAATACAAAAAAAAAAAGAAAGCATCAATAAGGTTTTTCATGTCTAAGTTTTCATTGGTTAATATTGATCGCCATTCTCACATTGAACAAACGTCAAATCAAGTTTATTTCATTTAATTGTGTTGTGTTCTTGTCTCACACTTTTAAAGTTGGAGTCAACAAGAATCATGACAACGTTACCACCGATTCAACCACGTCCAATTTTATGTAAAACAACAACAAATAATATACAATCATCATCGTCATCATCATCATCTGTTTTTCTTATTCATTCATCAACTCAACCTTCAAATGTAACAAATACAAATTTTTATTCAACAAATACTGATTTTATAAATAATAATAATTCATTACAAGCTCCTCCTCCTTCCGCACCATTATCTTCTTATGAAGAATTTCTCAAACGTCTTCGAGAATTTCATCGATGTCGTCAGTATGTATTATTTTAATAAAAAAAAAAAAAACAAAAATAAAACTTATTTATATGTCTACTTTTTAGAACAACATTTCGTTGTTTACCAACAATTGCTGGACAAGTTGTTGATTTACAAGCACTATACACAACAGTTGTTGGTCATGGTGGTTGGGATAAAGTAAATGATCGACAATTATGGTCAACTGTTGCAAATAATTTTGGTATTGATTCATCATGTCTTAATGGTACACAAGCTTTAAAAAATATTTATATTCGGTAAGATTCCTAATGAATATTTATAATATTATGTATGTTAAGTATATTTCGCTAAGTTGTAATTTTTTTAATTGAAAAAAAAAACACTTTTTCATTATCGAAGTAAATGTTAATGATGATTTTCGTAGTGGGTATTCAAGATTCTTTTTTTTTTCTGAAGGATAGACAATTGAAAAGTTATGAAAATTGTTTACCCTTCAATCTTCTTGTGCATTTTTTGTTGTAATATCGTTTGAACTAAACTAATCACATTGAGTTATGAAATTCTTCATCATCTATGTAACATATCGTTTTAAAATAGTTTATTTGTGCATCGTTCTTCTTTCTTTTTTTAATTTCAGTTCACTAGTGCCTCTTGATTTTTGAGGATAAAAGATATTTAAAAGTTTTTTGAACGGTTTTAAATTTAGAATAGGTTCAACAATAAGGTCTTCACTGAGAAGTTGAGTAGAGATGGTATGATTCAGAAAAAAATCACAACATGTATCAAGAGACGTGCATTTAAGAAACACGCCATCGTTTGTTTTTTTATTAAATTTCGACAAGGAATTACATTATGGATTTGTTCACTGTAATAAAAATATTTGTTAGCGTCAACAGATGACATTATGTTGACGCTAACTTAATTGAACTTTGTTCAATTGGTTTTTTCTTGTTATTCTCTCATTTGTTGGTATCTTCTCTTTCGTTCTTCTGTTAGTTGATTTTCTCAGATTTTGATATAGTTCAGTTGAACTTTCTCCTATCTAGTGGAAGTTTGTATTGTATTATCTCCGATTCATCTTCTATTATTATTATTAGTGTTATCATCATCATCATAATAAATTTCCCCTTCCCTCATATTACATTTCTTATTCCATTACTTCGTCATCATCATCATCAACAACATTGTTATTTAGTCAATTCTAAGGTAAGATCATTGTACTTTCAGGCTCCAATAATAACACATAAAAGTCGACCTAATAATATTTCTTACATATGTAAGCTTAGACAATAAAGGCGAAGAAAACTTTCCGCAACTTTTAGTTTATCTAACTCGAGTTTCTCGTACAGTTCCTCTTCACTTCTTACAAAGGAGTACTACTTCAAATTATGAAGAATTCAGGGCTTAACATTTATTCATATATACTTTCTTAGACATATTGAGATCCACTAAGAGTCAAAAGATAAAGTTAAAAGTCTGACAAAAAAAAATTGTTATAATCTATTGTTAAATATTTCATTTTCTTTTTGAATAGATATTTATATGCATTTGAAAAAATAAGTAATGGTGAAAATATTGATTCACATGATGATGATGATGAAGATTCAAAACGACGTAATGTTTCTCAATTACAACGTGTACCACAGTCATATAATCATGCCCAACATACTGTTTCGGGTAAATAAATTTTCAAAAATATTCTACTGTAAAATAAAATCTTATTCATTTTACTAGATTCATTACGTGCTCAATATGGTCTTTTTCGTGATTTTGTTCGTCGAAATGAATATGAAAAATTAGAATTAGCATTAATATGTGGTTTTCCAAATGAATTAACATTTACATTAAATACATTATTATTATTATCATCAACAACAAATAATCAAATATCATTTCATTTATATAAATGTCCACGTTTATTAGATATACTTTTTCGTCATATTGGATTATTTTTATCGAATGATACAACAAATAATGATCATTGTTTAAAAATTTTATATGATAATATTTGGTCAAAACATTTAAATTATCATATGGAACAATTTTGGATTGATTCATGTTCATCAGAAATTATTAAACAATTATTAAATATTGATATTAATAATAATCATAAATATTTATATAATAATTTTAATCTTAATTCAAATGATAATCAACAACAACAAGAACTTCGTATTGAACAAATTTTAATGATAATACGTAATCTTTCATTTGATCGTACAAATGCTATTTATTTACTTGATACAATACGTTCATCAACATCAATAACTTATATATTTTTATTATTAATATCATATTGTGAAAAAAAAATTGAATTACAAAAATATGCATATGATATATGGTCAAATTTAGCATTATATATGCATTTACGTTTAATTAGTAATGATGAAGGATATTTTATTCGACAATTATTAAATAATATGTTAAATGGTAATGAAAATAATGGACAACAAGATCGTTTAAAAATTATTCGTGCACTTGAAATTATTGCTAATTTATCACATGCTGGAAATGATAATGGAATTTATTTAATTGATTGTCTGGATATTATTATTCAAAGACTTATCCATGTATCGGATATACTTGTATTAGTACATACATTAGAATGTTTATATCAATTATCAGAATTAGGTTAGTTTTATTCATAGATGTATATATATATACTAAACTTGGATGTTCAAATTCCATCATTTTCAAATGATATTTGTATAAGAGAGTAAATATAGAGATGTAAAAGTGACAGTTATCACTGGTCTAAAATAACAGTGAACATATAATAAAACTATGATCGTCTTAGATTCATTTGGACTTTTCGTCGGAATAGATCTACTTCTAGAAAATAGCTGAATTTTATGTAACATGACTAAATTATGAGAATTAAGTCTTTGTTGAACGAAAATTTCATATAGATTTGGATTTGTAGATTCCGAAAATCTTTAGTCTAGTTGTATAAAATTTAACTATTTTCTTGAAATAGTTGCTTCGATTGAAAAAATCGAAATCAATCCGAGATCATCATAGTTTTATCATGTATTCACTATTGTATCCCTAAGTAAAGATAAGTTGAAAGAATAAATTATCACATAAGTTATATATGATCTAGGTTGACTGGAAAATATACGCAGTATTTCAGAAATGCTCACATTCGAATACTTGAATAGTATCTCATATACCTTTACAAGTATTTCGACA